GAAGAAGAAGAAGAAGAAGAAGAAGAAGAAGAAGAAGAAGAAGAAGAAGAAGAAGAAGAAGAAGAAGAAGAAGAAGAAGAAGAAGAAGAAGAAGAATTCATCAAATCTTTTCCAATTGCTCGGTTTTTATTTATCTGCTCCTGCGGAACCTTTCTCTTCCCTGAGAAACAGGAAACGCGGTATTTAAGAGTCGCACCAGCCGGAACCTGGGCTCGCGAAGTCACATTGAAGAGGAAACCGTCGGTCACATTAAAATCCGGTAACTTAATATAAATATAATATATAATTACATTTGTCTTTGTTCGCGTTGTCGTGTTTGTTGAGAGCAGGAACATTCGCACGTTTATTTTTTAGCGATATTATCGCGACTTTCACGTCCACGTCGGAGCTACATTGCTAGTTAGCATTAGCAACAACCCCAGAATACAACATTTCTTTAATGTTGGTATTTAGATGATCTCGACGTTCTGTGTATTCAATGGATGTTGGTGTGTTTAATAAAGTGTGTAACAGCCGGTCAGCTGCTTCCATCGGCTAACATGTAACCGACGATGTCAGCTCACAGTGTGGATGCTACTGACAGCCTCGTTCATGCTCTTATTTTTTAATCATCAGTCAGTCAACAGGAGATTAACCAGTTCCAATTGTCCTAATTGATCGATTGTAAGGTTGATGCCCCACACAATGATTGTGTTAGGGTTATTATAAGGAGCTTCTATTACAGCCACTGCACCTCTGCCCTAAAGCAGCCAGATAAGGTGATGTCAGGACAAGCCTCTTCAGACTACAGGGTAGATCCAGGTCACACTGAGACTGTGTGTCTTCTGGCCAGGAGTAACTGCAGAGTGTTTCTGGACAGTGTGATTCATCTTTTAACTCAGTCTTCAGTTTGTTTGTTTCTAACTTCTCCGATGTGACAATTTGTTTTTCTGTGGCTATTTATCTGACATTAAAATTTAACAGTCATCCCATAAAAACATAATTGTTCAACTGTCTGATGATAGAAATATAGAACTTAACTGTCAATATTACAAGTACACGGTCCAGATTCACTCGGGTCTATAAAGTGCTGCTTTTAATATATTTCTTATTTGCAGTCTTGACTGACACACAGTACTTTGCTCATGTCCACAGGACAAGTGACCGGTCGGTGCATTCCTGATGACTTTATCTGGATGATCATCAACAATGTTTACTACAAAGGTCGTCCCTTGTCTTAGTCTATTACGTAGAGCAACTGGTAAGTGTGAACATCTGTCCGTCTGTCTGTCTACCTAAACTTTATTTCCTCTGTATGTAATAACTCTCAAGATTACATCATTTCCTTTTACCCAGGTGCACTTCACGCCCATGGAGACATCCTGAACCGATGTGTCCAGCCGGTCTGTCCTGCTCTCTTCATCTCATCTAGACAGAATCTCAGTCACTACTCGACAGCAGCAGACAACACACCACCTCCTCGATGGACACAGCTTGAGCCAGAACTGGACGAGGCTCTTGTGCCACGTAAACTGTCAGTGAGTCCTCTAGAGAGCTGGCTCTCCCTGCGCTACTCCCTCCCTCCCCTGCTGGAGTCCGTTCAGCCGCAGGAGGACATAGAGCTCCTGGAGGAGAAGGTGCTGCCCCCCATCTCTGTCCCTGTTTTGGAAGATGACACAGGCTCTGCGACACCCCTCAGTTGTAAGAATGTTCTGAAGATCAGGCGACGGATGATGAATCGGCATAAATACAGGAAGCTGCAGAAACGGATTAAGTTCTTGAAAAGGAGAGTGCTAGAAAGCAGGGGGAGGAAAAAGCAGGTGAGTTTGTTCTCTAGAATTATTCTTTTGTCAAATAAGGATCTTGTCGCAGTCATGTAGGTTTTTTAATGTTTTTTTCTGTTCACAGCAAATTAATACTAAATTTATTTATGATAGTTGGATTGTAAAATTACCACTAATGGTTATATTTTGAGGAGAATTCTTGCCCTAGTCTGCTGCATGACAGCACAATTTTCCATAACTAGCAGAACTTGAGTTTGCCTCATTAACATGGCCGACCGTGTCTTTGTCCTGTACAGAAACGATTTGAGGAGGATCTGAAGAGTATTTGGACGCGAGCTGGACTGAAGAAGGCTCCAGACGGATGGACTACACCGAAGATCTTCATCAATCAGCATGGAAACAGAAGGTCGTGACAAACATCCATGGTGGTTTGAGATTGAGTCATATCCCTCACACTGGCTGTATCTGTACAACACTGAACACAAAGCAGGTTAAAACAGTCAGCCTGAGTTTTTGTGTTTCACTGGTGTACAATGCTGTGTACTGTCATTGTGACAAAGTGTACGTAATCTAATAAAGAGCTTTTTCGTTCCAGTCCAAAACATGGTGTGTGCAAATCTTCTGTTGCCAGGTTCAGATTAGTGTTTGAGCAGTTTACAGTTTCCCGTTCTTCCTGTGGGTGGCAGTATTGTGCAAAGTCTGAAATATCCATCAGGTTTTATAGCAACTGAAATGACAAAATAACTGCTGGTTAGCAACAGGAATATTTTAACCTCACCAATATTTTTGTCTGCATTTGGTTATTTGTGTGTTATTTAGCAGGACTATTATCTATAAAAACTACTGGATGGATTACCATGAAACTTTAAAGGATGCAGGATGGGTGGGTCAGGAGAGAACTCAATAAATGGTGGAAATCTGGATCAGGGGCCAAATCTAGGAAAACAAATGGTATTACTTGAACATTAGGGCATAAGGTGTTATAACACATATATATATAGATATAGATATATATATATGTATGTATCACCTGGAATGTCTACTCCCTGCCTAAAGCCAAATGTCTGGAGACAACACAGAGGAATCAGAGGAAGAGATGGATGTGGAATTGTTGCTGCAGCATCAGGATTAAAAAGCAAAACCAGAGCCATCAGCTTTGGATGTGTTATGTGAGAAAACAGCTGGTAATAGAGCAGCTTCAAGAGAGGCTGCAGGATGTTACACTGAAGCTGTCGTTTGGCCTGGAGAGGTTTTCAACATCCGATGATAACATCAGATTCCAGGTATGTTATGTCATGTTTTTTTTAATTATTAATTTTATTTTTTTCTCCTGAGAAATTTAGATCTGCGATGCAAAATGTGTTTATCAAGTTCTCTGACACGCAACTGCTTATTGATAAACATAAGAGGTCCGATGTTTTCTGGCTCTGTCAGTGACAAAGAATTGTTCAGGCGATCCGGCATCGTTGCTCTTCTGTATAGAAGCCGTGGCTGTTATGGTGGACGAGGGATTCAGAATCGATGACCTCTTCCCATGCAAAGTTTACAGACCACGTTTTCAAAGTAAGCAGTTACAGCTGTCTCATGACAAAGTGCTGGTCACTCAGGACTCTGCACGGTTGAGGGGGCATGAGGAGAGAGCAACAAGGCGAATCTGAGAGAACAAACTATTTGACACTGTTATTCCTCTTTGTCAATAGCTGACAGCATCAACCAGCTTTATGCTGTAGCCTGCCTCATAGCAAACTATCAACACAAGCCACTGGTCAAGGCTTGTGCCAAAGAAGTGACTACGTGTTGACCTCACTGAGCCAGATTCCCTTCATACTGTTGCACAAACAGGCTGTAAATACGCTTGTCTCAAAACTGCTCAGCAGGCTAATAGTAGATTGCCCTGTTATTATAAGTGATTTATCTGCTGTTGGGGATGTTATGCACATTCTATAAACATGGTTCCCACATTCCTGGAAAACCTGGAAAATTAGTGGAATTTCAAAAATCTAAACTTTAAGGCCTTGAAAAGTCAGGAAATCATTTTGTGGTGTATAGTAAAATGGATTGTTACAGGAAGGTTGGTGGGTAATCTTCCACATGATGTCATATAACAGCACATTTCACAGTTGCTGTTGACATAAGGTACAAATTCTGTACTCACACATATGCTGCTGCCTCTCTCATGCTGGAAATGTTTCATTGCTACTGGCAAACATTGAAATCTCACGACTCTCTGAAACACAATCTTAGAAACTAAACAAGACTACAACCAACAAGCTCTGCAAAAAATGTTTCAATATAAAGGGGCTCCTTTCTCCTTTTCAATTTTATTCTGGAAATGTCCAAACCTTCTTCAACATGGCCTGAATACTCCCTCCTGTGAGGATTTAAAGAAACCAGCCATCATAACATCGTAGTTCTGTTTTAGCAGCATAACGAACGAAACCAAATGTGTAAGCTTTTGTTTGGTACTTGTCTAGTTTTATTAGACCTCAATCCTTTGTGAGCGTGTTCACATTTGAATGATTGTGGTGATGTTATTGTTGTGGCTGTGTTATAGTTTGTTACAGAACCTTGCAGTTTATTTTTCTGTCACTTCATGTAAAGGAGTGCTGCACCAGAGGTTTTGGATTTCAGTGTCTCTGGGGGCGGAGCGTGTGGAGGCTCCAGACTCTGCAGAATTTACAACAAAACACAGCTGAGCCGCTGCTCTGTGAACTTGAAGCTCTCCTCTGTGTTATCTGTTGATGCTCACAGCTCATCTGACGGGCCTTCACCTCCACCGAGAAGAAGATGCAGCTCGAGATGACTCTTCTTCAGAGTAAGTGCTTCACTCGTCTTTCTTTTTTAAGAGAGAAACCGAAAAGAAAAATAACTCTGGAGGAACTTTCTTTGTGCCATAATTGGATCCAGGTTAGAATCACCCGCCGGGAACAAAAGCCTCAAGCTGTTCAGCTCTCAGATGTGTGAAGCTTTAATATATAAACTTATTCTTTTGAATTGGATTTTCTGTGGCAGACGGCTTCTTCAAAATGTCCTTGTAATGAAAGCAAAAAAAGTTGACCCAAACTCCAGACTTTTTTTGAAGTTAAATATACACAACTAAATTTTAGTAACAATTGCAACAGGACTATTGTTCTCTTTGTGTATTATTCTATTCTATTAGTGTATTATTCTTAAACCTGTTGATGGTAAGCTGCTCATTCTCCGATTATTTTTGTCTATTTATATGAATCACTTTTTACATTTTCATTATCTAACGTTATTTATAATCGGCCTATTCTTTTGCAATTGGGAGAAACCAAGTGAAGTGGATCCTTGCATGCAGCCTGTTGGTATAGGCTGGTATATTGTGCATGTGGGATTTTGTTTTATGACTTGAGCCCAATGTGTTTCTGGTTAACTGTGGTCTGAGAAGAGGAGTCAGCACAATCCTGCAGCCAGTCATTATATGTGTCAGTAATGAGTGTTTCACCACGAGTGGGCTGCTTTGAGTCCGGACGCCGTGGAGGAGGAGGGGGAGGGGGTTTACCGCCCAAACATGTTTATGTCTTCATTAACAGCCTCTAACAACGTGGCAGGGAACAGATTGTAAAAGTTGGTTTGAAGAAAATACAGTTATGAACATTAATCTACAATATATTCATTCTAGGTGGAATGACATAATAATTGACAATCGTCCAATGTTTTGATCCCACTTTGCTCAGTAGATTGTAGTTTGATAAAAGTTTCCTAACCAAATATTTTTTAATTAAATTCTCTTAACAGTTATTATGTTTCAACATACTTTGAATTGCACCCTTTCCATAAAAGATTCAAACAATAATTGTATCATTTTTATTATTATTAGCTCAAGTCAAATAAAGTTTATTTGAAACTAGAGTTGGCCAAAGTGCTGTAATTTTCTTAAAATTATAGTTTTTACACAATAAAACATGCACAAGAAGATTTATTACATATAAACATCACTTTATTGATTTCTTTAGTTTTTTGGGAATTGTGCTAAATCTTTGCTTTATTGTGAAATATTAGATCATTTTATCTCACTTGGCCTCAAACTGTTAATTTTAAAGAGAAAATCAGTCTTTGTTAAATCTGCCAACAACTCAGTTGTGGACCATGATGAAGTAAATAATGTAAACAATACGTATTTGTTAGAGGTCGCCATCTAAATCGTTCTACTGTACTATTTTATTGCATTGCATGAGGGTATCAGGTTTTTATTGTACATAAAACCTTAACATAATAATTATATCTGTCAGATGAATGTAATAGTGAAATGAGGGGGAGTATAAGAATGAAGTGGAATAAAATGGAAATATGCATTTGAAGTACAAGTATATAAAAACTTCACTTTAGTATGCTACTTGAGTAAATCTACTTTTTGCAATCGACAAAAGTTTTTATTTTTACACAGTGAAAAAAAACAGCGTCCAGGCCTCTCAGTGGATCTTTGTATATTTAGCTGAGTCTGCAACTGGACTGACACACAACTTTGAGTAAACTTTACTCACCTCACAACATCCATGAATCACTGGAGTCACTCAGAGTAAATTCATGCCTTGTGTTTGACTCACTTGTGTAAACCTGTTTTGTTTTATCTCAGCAGTGATTCTGCACATGGTCATAGGGTCACAAACGACAACAGTGATTTTGCAGCTCGTTTGTTAAATGTCTGTTATTACGGCTGGTGATTCAGTAGCACATTGTTAAGTCTTTAATGTGAGTCATCAGCCTGTGTGTGTCTGCAGCAGAGATGAGAGTAAATCACAGGGTCGGGGGCAACTTTGTTTTACCTTCTGCAGGAAAGTTTATACCCGTCAATAGAAAAACCCACCAGAGTTTTCCAGCTCGAGGTCTCATGTCTGATGCCAATGTGTGTGTGTGTGTGTGCTGAAATCATTTCTCTCATCTTTGAAGGTTATTATATTCTGGTGCATTCTTATGAAATTACTGTTTGTACAAATCACAGCATTATTATTTACATGTGGTGAAAGGAAACCTCTCTGCACATGTCTTTGTGTTCACGTGAAGTGAATAAACCGTGTGCAACAATGATGACGAGTAAAACATCTGGATGCATGGTCTCTCAACCTGTATCAAATAGATCCTGTGCAGCTTGCTTTTAGAAGTTAGACCATTGGTGTCAATACGCTTTAAAAAAAATAACTGAGCTGCTCGTTGCACCACGCCGTCCACTAAACCTTTTGTTTACACATACATGAACTATTGCACAAATAATAATATTCCACACATGACTTCATAACTTTATGAAGGAGATGTGCTGAGGTAGCTCTTACTTCTGTAAATGTACTTTTCTACATTTCACTTGTTTAGTATTTATCATCCCTTTGAGTTCAAATCAAACTTCATATGATGTTTCATTGCAGATTACTCTTTAATTTCCAGATTTAAAACTTCTGTCCACATAACTTCAGACTTGCTTACGCTGGCTCCTCATCTGTTGTAAAGTTGACTTAAAGTTGACTCACTTTCAAGGCTTTTCAAGGCCTCATTCATCACCAGATTTTGACCTCTTACCTTTTACATGGAACCACATGAGCCTGTGGACAGTTAACGATCCTCCACATCATCATCCATCTCAGGCGTTGGTCTCTTAACTGTCCCAGAGGCCTGGCTTCCAACCAGAGGGTGCAGCACAGTTGAAGCCAAGGCCTCAGAGCACTGGAACGACCTGCCAGAGGGAAGTTTGCAGAGTCAGCAACTTATGTTAAAACTCCTCCTGAGACAAGCTTTTAGCAGAGACTTTATCTGCATTTCATTTGTTTGTTTAGTTTTTCATCTGGTTCTTATCTTACATCTTTTTAAATGTATGGTTATGTTATGCTCTGAGTGAAACATGATGTAACTTGGGTTTTTGAAAAGAATTGATTAATCTTGGCATTATGACATTTAAGATATATTTTCAGTATACTGAACACATCCATACATTTTCACTGCACTGAAGGCTCCGCACCTCTAGCCTGTGTAGTTCACTGTGACCGTCACCAGTGCAGTAAAAATACGCAGGTGTTTGGTCATGTTTTAGACTTTTGACACCTTGTATAGTGTGAGTGAAGTGAGCTGAATAGCAGCTCCGTTCTTCATCCCCTCAGGATCACGGCCCTGCAGCGAGCCAGCAGCAGAAGTCTGCATGAATAGAGGCTCTGTATGCTTTGGCTGAAAGTGTCTCCACCGGCCCTTCGGTAAACATTCTACCAAATAGCACTGTGGGAAAAATGCATTCGAAATAGCAAATGCTCTGTAGGAACATTTCCTATCTGTAGAATAGGAAAACAAACAGGAAAAATATGTTTCCATAGAATATTCTTGGCCCTGTGTGTATTTTTTCTCGTCTTGTTGTTATTTTGATTGAAAGCGTTTTACTTTAAACCATGTTCCTGCTTCTTCTGATTTCCTGTGATAATGTAAACAGTCCTCTGACTGAACCCACGTCTTCTCCAACTCTGAAATCTTGCACTGCCTCTTCATTCTGCTGCAAATTTAGTCTCTAAGCCACTTGAGTCATTTTAGCTGGTTTTGATTATAAATATTCCTCTGTGATCTGTGAGACTTATATCATTGAAAAACATGTGTATTACAGCAACAGCATGCTGCATGAATTAAGAGAGGCAGGATCTCTAACCATTTATGTTTTTGTCTGTTTCAGTTCTTGCTGTGCTCTTCCTGCCTGGAGGTGAGACTTTTTTCACGACCTTAATTAAAGCAGAATGTATAGTAACCCACATGTTTCATGATGTTCTGAGGTTTGTGGTTATGTATTTGTTTCAGCATGGACTCAGAGCAGCAGCAGACTCGGTGCGGTGGTGGAAACTAAGAACATCACCTTCCCTGCGGGGTCAAAGGCCGTTCTGCCCTGCCACAGCCCCCGCATGGTGTGGACCCAGGACAGACTGAAGGACCGTCAGAGGGTGGTGCACTGGGACCTGGTCCGAAGCAGCCCGGAGTACTCCGTGGAGAGAATCCTGGACATGTCCCCTGGAGCCCGCCAAAGGGTCTACAATGGTTTCAACAAAGGACGCGTTTCCATCCCAGACTCCGCTTTCAATGACGGCAACTTTTCCCTCGTCATCGACAGTGAGGCTTATTTTCCAGGAGCACCGTGAACTTTTCACTCTTTCTTTAACAGTTTCATCTTATGACTGTTTGGATATTTTCTCTTTCAGATGTGGTCACAACCGACCGAGGAGTTTATACTTGTAATCTGCACCACCATTACTGCCAGATTCACCAATCCGTTCAAATCCAGCTCAATGTCACTAAGTCAGGTGAGGCCAGACTGATGTTATTCCACTTGTCATCGTGTATCAAATACCATATATTTCAGTTTGACACTCCTCTGTTTCCAGTTCGCAAAGAGAAACGTTACTGGGATGGAGAGAGAACTGTATTCGTGGTCTTACTGGGCAAGTCGGTGGTTTTGCCTTGTGTGAACCGACGCTCCCTGTGGAGAGAGGGTCTCCAGGAGGACCAGCAGCAGGTGGCTCACTGGGACTTCCAGGCGCCTGGAGTGCGTCCTGACAGGGCCGACCGCCTGGTGGACCTCTACGCCTCTGGAGAGCGCCGGGATTATGGCCCGCTCTTTGCCCAGAACAAGATGAGCGTGGAGGAGGACGCCTTCACGTTTGGCGACTTCTCCTTGTCCATCTCTGACTTGAAGCCTGTTGACAAAGGCCTGTACTCCTGCCACCTGCACCACCACTACTGCGGCCTTTATGAGAGACGCATTTTCAGGCTCACTGTGGCACCTCCACCTCCACCTCCGCCGCCCGCCTCCACAACAGCACCCAGAATCTTCAAGAATTATGAACCTGTGCCAAGTAAGCCACTCACAATCAAAAACAGAGACACCACCAGAACTTTGTTTTTCCAGACGCTAGTAATGGTAAAGGTTTTCCCCACATATGGTTTCTGTGAACCCTGCTCCTGTGTTTTTTTTAAAAATATATTTATAGGCATAGTTGGTCAGTTGAATCAGTTCCTCTTCTTGGCAGTTTCTCTTCAGTACTGTCTGTTTTTGTGTTTGAGTTGAAGAGGGAGGAGGTAGGAAGGAAGGAATGTAGAAGATATGAGAGAGAAAGAGAGGAAGAGAGAAAGAAAGATGTGTTTTATTTTCAGCTCTGTCTTGAGAAGCCGTCAACAGTAAATGGCTGTAAATTGAAGAAAGAAAAAAAGAAAGAACAAACGAGAGAAAGAGAGAAAGAAAGATGTGTTTTATTTGCAGCTCTGTCTTGAGAAGCCGTCAACAGTAAACAGCTGTAAATTGGCTGCTATGGAAGTGGGCTAATTTTCCTTTGTAACCGTTTAATTTACAGCTGGAGACATTTTAACCGCGTCGGGCAGATGAGTGGGCTCCAGTTTAATTCAGGGCGTGGATGTGTTTTCTTCCTCCGTTTGACCCAATTTCCAGAAAGTCCCAACCACGTGTCCGGACTGGTTACACTGCATCTCCAGTTTTGTTTATCCGTCTTTTCCCTCGGTTTCTGCTCCGTCTCTCCCCTGATGTGTATCAGCCTCCTGTTTACCAGCAGTCAGAGGAAGTCTGATACATCTGTTCAACATCTGGACCAGCTGTGGCATGAAAGAGCATGAAAGTGAGGGGAGGGGGATGAAGGTTTGTGTTGGACTATAGATCCTCCTCCTGCCCTTTAAAAGAAATGACAGCCCGTTTTAATAACTCTGTGAAGTATGTAGCGAAGAAGTGCACACGTGGATCGATGGCATCCTGCCTGCGTCCTCCGAGTAAACCTCAGCCAAGGAATCCACTTTTTCTTCACATGCCACTGATCTCTACCCAGGCACCAGCAATCATCTGAAATTACAAAGATCAAGAGAGAGTTCCGCGTTAACGCACAAATGCATCATTATTTCTTTGTAATCACGAGGGGGGCTTTTAGTGAGCTGTCAGCAATTCAACAGGAATCTTCATCTTAGAAAATGAAGATGCTCTCCTGAAGTTCATTGACTTGCAAATGATGCACGTCCTGCAGGGGGGGGGGAGACAGCCCTAACCTCGGCGCAGCATATGTGAAGAAGCCGTTAACACAGATCTGTCAGGAAAATGGAAATGAGCCACTGCTGGGACATGTCCGCAGCTCTGGATGTAACATTTGAGCTCCAGGGACGATGACCTTGGACGTGCCTCTGCAGTTTCATGCATATTATGGACATTAAACAATGACAGCCAATAATTACCAACCAAGCTCCCACTGAGGAAGTGTGTGATTAAGTCAGAAAGACCATTTTATTTTATTTTTAGAATTCTTGTCATTATTGGCTGGTTTTGAAAGCATAGTCCAAGATGTTCTCCTCATTAATCTCTCAGTAGTGTTCGATTGTAGTGGTGTCCAACTTAACGGCTTCATGAGAGACCAGAGAGTAAAACTATATTTAAGAAGAAAAGATTGGATCTTTTTCTTCTTTTTTTCCTGTGATCTGACTTCTGGGATTCTGCTGCTTTTGAATTTAGACATTGAAAGACTGTAACAGCAGCAAAACATCCACTGAATGCAAAATAGTTTCCGCACTGCACACTGCTTATAGTGGACATTGGCCTCTTTATTATCCCAGAGGCCTGAGGGACAGTTAGTTGAACAGGCAGCAGTGACCACACAGTGACAATACATACATCAAAAAATACAAAAATATCACAGTGAGTCATTTAAAAGCCTGATTACATCGGGGATAAGTGACTTTTTTAAGCTGTTAGTGCTTCGTCTTGGCAGATTGTATCTACGACCAGGCTGAAGCAACAGAAACTCTCCAGTGTTGGAGGCTGGAATCATTGAGGACTGTCAGGTTTTCTTTAAAGTCTTGACCTTGTGCTGGGGATGAGGGTCATTTGTGGTCGTGCCAGCTATTTATAATTCCTTGCTACTGAATTAAGTGACCCGCACCTGCAGATAAAAGAGAAACTAAGAAGAGGTTTGATAAATCAAGAATAACATATCATATCATAAAAGTGCATTAGACATTAAAACTTTTAAGCTTACGATAAAAATACAGGAGTTTTGTTATAAATGGCACTAACTTAAAGCTTGAAGCTCGGCTTGTCGTCAATGACTGTTCTGAGATATTTATCCTGTTTCATCAGCTCAACAGCCTGAGCATTAATCAGCAGACACTGAAAAAATCTTATGTTGAAATTACTGAAGTCTAGTGGCTGCACAAAATATATTTAACTGATTCAAGATATATAAAAAAATTTATTAATAGTATTAATTAATAAAGTATATAAACAATATATTGAATATAATTTAAGTTTAGTGTAAATGTTTTTAAGTTGATGTTTTCAGTCATTTAAAATTAATCAAAAACATATGTTGGGTTCAATAACACATTAAAGTCTGTTAAATTGAAACAAATTTAAAAAGGGTCAGAATTTATTTTCTCAGTTCAGGAGAGATTCTTCCTAAAACCAAAAAGATATATTTTCTGCACTGTCTTATTTTTTTTTATTGTTAGCTCTCACAAAGTGTACACAAACAAACTGGGTGACAGTGAGAGCTCGACTTTCCTGTGTGACGGCCGACTGTTGAGCTCTGCTGACTGACGGTGTCACCGATTTATTTTCCGTGCCTGCAGAAACCAGACTCGTGTGTTTGTTGAGGACGGAAAAAGGCCTAAATGGAAAACTAATACAGACACACAGACAAACCACATTACAGAATGTGTCTCTCCCTCCTCACACTTCTCCCCCTCTTTTCTGGTCTGCCTGTTTTTTCTTTTTCTTTTTTCCTGAGAAGAGAAAAAAACATAACAGCTGCATGACATCAGGTCTGGAAGTCATTACCGCCGAACAGCATTTTGACATTTTACTCCTGCTCTCCCTCCTTCTGTGTCTGGCTTTTGGGCTCTAATGAGAAAAGAAGGAGCCTCAGGGGGAATAAAAATCTTCGTAGTCATAGAAATGCATTTGAACTTCTTGTTTGTCGCCATTAACTTAAATCTCCCTTAAAATCAAATACATCATTATATAGAAAATAAGAGCAGAAATATAATACAAGACATCCCATTGTCATTTGGTTTGATGGAACCTTGCTCTATTAAGTATTGATTGGTGTCTTTACAGGGACTGATGAGGTGGAGGGTCCACGTGTGGTGAACGTCATCCTCCCTGAGCATCGAGGTTATTTTGTGCAGCATTTGGGATATTTCCTGGCAACGTTCCTACTGCTGGCGTTCGTCGTTGTCGCCGTCATTGTGTTGACAAGACGACGCAAAAAGAGAGGTATTGTGTGTGTGTGTGTGTGTGTGTGTGTGTGTGTGTTTGTGGGTGCATGTGCGTGTTGAAGTCTTTTCTGAGTTCTTGGCTTGTATCTGACAACTTCCTTTATAATTTCATTATGTCTACTAGTGTAGACTATTACATTTAATTTTTATTTTTATATTGTGTGTTTTATTTTGATTTAAGGGCTGCAATATGAGCTGCGAAGATCTGAGCGGTAAGACATGACTAAATCATAAATTATATTCCACATATCCTTGAAATCATATCCACTTTTTAAGCAAAACATTAATTTCCTGCAGGGGGGACGTGATCATCGAGGGTGATATGTCATTAGAGTGCACAGAGCTGAGGCCCTGCAGCCAAGAACCAGTGATTTCAGGTACAGTGAACCTCATCCACAGAGATGCAATAAACACACATAACCTACCTCAACCAAAAAAAAAGTGAGTTTTACTTCCTCATAATTTTGTCTGCAACAACCCACAGACTACAAAAACAACCTACTGAAAGAGAGAGATATGACCAAAGACTGCAACAAGGGTGAGCCCAGGTTCTACAGTTAAATAAACATTCGTAGAGCTACAGTGTAATTGAATATGTTTTATTGATAAGATGTTCCTCTCCCACTCTGCCGTTCAGACCTCGATGGGAAGCTGTGGAAGTGAGTGGGATATTTCTGAGCTGCTGCTGCTGGCAGGACCAGGGCAAACACCGGAAGAGTAAAGGATCATGGAGAGAAGAGGGAAAAAAGGAGGAAACCCAAGAGAGGACAGGAGGAATGCTCCCTCTGCTGTAACTCTAGCACACTAAGCTTTTTCACTAAAAGGCAACATCATTGTTTGTGTATTTTTTTAATATGCAACTTGCATTTTCACCAGCTGTACTAATAAGGTTAAACATTTATTTAATCCTTACTCTTTGCATTCATTGGTCTGTTGATCTTGAATATTAGATATTTTCTATCATCATTTTTTTTTTAATTAAAGTGCATGCTGTTTATTAAAGTATGTCTTATATGTACTGTGCATGCCCACAGAGCTGCAGCCTCACAGCTCCTCTTAATTGTTAAATATTCCCTTTTTTTCACAAATTCTGCTGTACTTTAATTTGTAAATGGTTTTATTCAAATGTTAATTTACTGTATCTCTGTAGACAGTGTTTGGAAACAAGTTGAACTCATCTCTATCTACAGATGGTAAGAAATTTTTCACATGTCATGGTACTGGTTTTTTTCTTCCCTCTTAAACCCTGCGATGATGACAAAGTGACTAAATTTCCCCTTTTCTCTCAATGTTATGTATTTTTAGAAACGCAGATCGTGAGACCCGGATGAACATATAGTCCCTTTGAATACATTTAAATTATCAGGTGTCAAATTATGAAATAGTAGGACAGGGGACTAAAGGCTCAGTCTTAACTCGAAACTCAGGACAAAGAAGAATGTTTTAACCATGTATTTGGTTTCCAACGGGCTGTGCAGTAGGCTACTTGTTTGCATCGGGCATGTACAACGTATCCTGGTTTTTAAAACACTGAATTTTCACGATTAAAACTGCTGGTTAATGATACAGGTTGATACAAAGCCTCACTGCTCTGTGAGGTTCACTGCAGGAAGAAGTGTGTCTACCATCTCAGTAATAATCACAAAGTCCCAACCCCCCTTTTGAAATCACTCTCTGCCTCTTGCTCTCTGTCTTACTCACTTGCACACAGTCTATTGTTGGTTTCTTCTAATAAAACACTTCTATAAAATATTCACCACAGTCGTCACAGACTCATGAATCACTATTTGTTCCAGTTGTTAAGGCGGAGCCCCACAGAAAGTAGCCAACATGTTTGGTTTTTGGATTAATAGGGAACAGTGATACTAACGTTCAACATTCTAACTATGCTGCACATTATCGATCACATTTCAGTAATGATGAGGCAATAAATCACATGATGGATTATTCTCTACTTAGTATTATTCACATTGGTAATTTTAGACAAAATAATACGTAAGCCTTTTTGCAGCAGAAACCACATTAGTTGATATAATCATCAGCTTAGTTTCTGCTGTACAGTGGTTTTCTCCAAATCTCTCATTGCTGCTGCATATTTGTGTGTGTGTGATAATACTGTATATTAGCTGTATATACACCTAATAATAGGGCTGCAAATGTATCTATATATGGTTATTTTACATGATTAAAACTTATTTTAAATTGTTTAACCTAAAGGTCCGGTGTGTAAAATGTAGTGATATCTTGTAGTGGAGTTGCATGTTGCAGCTGAACACCCCTCACCTCCCCACCCCCGTCCAAACATAACAGAGAACTTGTGGAAACCTTCAGTTGTCATAAAAACTCAAAAGATGTTTGGCGCAGAGAGGACGTGGCTCCACATGTAAATGTAAAGGGCCCGTTTTAGACTCGTCCACCCTGGACAAAACAAACACCTTTTGCGTTTTTATGACAACTGAAGGTTTCCACAGGTTCTCTCCCTTGTGTTTGGAGGGGGGAAGGGTGAGGTGAGGGGTGTTCAGCTGCAACATAACACTTCACCACTAGATGTCACTAAATTCTACACACCGAACCTTTAAGAAACACCTACCTTGTATAAGCTATGTGAAGTCAATCAGGAGAGTAACGGATGAAATAATGAATTCCACTGAACTGAATGGAGCTCCAGATGTTTGACTCATGTTTTCCTAAGTGATGATGTTCGGACTCCACCTGCTCTTTGCTCCACGTGTGAACGAACATCAGTGTGACCCGTGTGCGAGCGTGTTGTTGTGGCCGCACAGGCCCGCGCACAGCCCGGACTCTCCACTAGATGACAGCACTGTCTCGCCCATCGTGGAAAAAAAAAAATAATCGAGAGCGATATTCCCAATGCAAGGACGGTCCCTTCCTGTTTTAGTACCGACACAGCCACCGTACCGACATACGGCGCAGCAGCAGCACGGGCTCTCCCCTCGTTATGTCCGGATCCTGTTCGCCAGAGACGCGGAGCTTCATTTTCCACCGCGGGCTCCACGGCTTTGTGTGTTAGCAGGGAAGCGGCCGTGTTGTTCCTCCGCTGACGCACAGCGGGCCCGACCACTGCGCCTCCGCCTCGGTCCTTCCCCAGCGTCAATGACCGTCCTCCCCTCACGCTCATGGCGGAAACTAAAATCATTTATCATATAGACGAGGAGGAGACTCCGTATCTGGTCAAACTGTCCGTGTCTCCGGAGAAAGTCACCTTAGCGGATTTTAAAAATGTCCTCAACAACAGACCCGTCAACAGCTACAAATTCTTCTTCAAATCCATGGACCAGGATTTTGGGTAAGTGCTCGCTCATAATAATAATAATAATTATTATTATTATTAATAATTGTATTATTACCCTGTCATTACCATATGATTTGATAGCAGTGCATGTTTAAACAGCTGGTTCCAGGCCGTGTCACAGGCAACAACACGATGCAGGCTGCAACATCTGTACATGTGTGCAAACTACAGTGCCATGTCTGCCTCCATGCTCCTGGCACCTGCTCATTATTACAGGCACACACTCACACTCACAGACACACACACACACACACACACACACACACACACACACACACACACACACACACACACTGTTTGAAGTGATACCGGATCTGTCCAGAGCCCTAATGACGCAGCCCCGCATGCATTACGCAGAGCCAGACCCCTGCTCCACACAGACACCGTGTTAACCCATAATCATGTCAATACATATTAATAAATGTCAGAGCGATGCTGACAAAGAATCCACATGTTCAAGTTCTCAGATTTCATGTTGTTTTGTTTTGGTCCCCCCTCCTCCTCTCCTCCTGTGCCTGCTTATTGCAACATGGGATTTTCACAATGAAATAACTATTTAAAAAATAATTTAGTTTTCTTTTTGATAGCTTGGGGGGAGTTTTATTTCTTCATGCATGCTTACGAACTCCCACATGATGGACTGCAGGTGAATCCCAGGAGAGTACAGCAACCACAAGTCAGTGATTGGGACTATTAGAGGTGCAATTATATTAGTGGTGTTTGCATTTGCAGTAATTGCCCCAGAGGTGGAGAAGTAAATGTCCGGAGATCAGATGAGAAACTGAAGCACATCCTCATGACCTTGGGTTTTCAAGGTTTTCGCACAATTAGCTGCGACTGAAGTTTTCAAAAAGACTTGATTGCAGATAAAGCATGTTGAAGAGACAGGCAGTGAGGACAGAGAATATACAATATTGTAATCAATGGTAGTCATGAGGGAGAGAACTAAAGCAAATTATTTAAACCTAAGGGCATCATTTTACTACTGATTATGCTGTTATGGAACCAGAAAAGAAAATTTAATGCCGCACAACTTGTCGTATCATTAATAAATGATGCAATAAAACTAAAAGTATTATTTTTAATGGAGAATTCAACCCCAGAAATTCACATTAAGAATAATGCAAATTCAAAATAATAGACATATTTCCTCCCTTTTTTTTTCCTCGCTTCTGTTCTTTTGTTCCTTCCTTGTCCTCTCGTTTTTTCATCCCATCCAGATTTTCAGGTCTACAAAGCTCTCTGGCTCCTTCGGTCAGTGAGATCCACTTGTATCAGGCCTCTGCTGGGAATGGCGTATTTGTGTCAGCGCCTTGTTTCTCATTCCAGTCTGAACAGTCATACATGAGCCCACACACATTAGTATCTAGCACTGTAATCGCAAAACACGATTGGAGGAAATGCAGGGCCAGGCAGTGTCTATAGGACCGAGCGTCACACATTTCCACTGCAGCCTGACCTTGTGAGGGAAGCCGGCTCTTCCTGGTGGCAGGCTGGGCTCGGTGCGCCGCTTTGTCCCCAGCCCCGACTTCCTGCCTCTCATTCGCTGCAGGCCGGGCTGCTCGTGGGGCCTCAGGTGATCGACAGGCAGATTATGGAAACAAACAAGGCATGTTTGCTCTCACCACATAAGAACGCGCTCCATGTTGCTGAACACACGGCTACAGGAGGCCGACTGGCTCCTGCATGTGCATCAACAAAGCATGTTTAGTTCTTCTGCGAATTGGACATTGTCAAAGGACGGTTTTGTCCACACAGGGCTGTTATGCACAGTTTATAAAAGCGTATTCGTGAGCATTCGGGCCTTTGAGTTAAGGTTGAATATTCAGGCTCTGCGAGCGCCGTATGGCACTGGCACAGTATGGAAGCAAACTCAGTCAAAGGCACGGAGGATAGCAACGCTTTGTGGTAGCCGTGCTGGCTTTACTGCATACACACAGACAGTATGGCTGCTGGAGAATTAGCTGGGGAGGAATAAGACTGCTGAGCAGAGAGGGAAAACATCAAATCCCTTGCAGTTATAGACAGTGTTTGAAATGTAAATGAGCAGTCAGTGCAAGGTCCTCTGTAGTAGACCCCCTGCTGTGCTGGAAAAAAACAGCCATTTTCTTATGAGATTGCTGAACTACATTTGTGCCGGCCATATCGGGCCTTTAAGCAATGGCCTCATGAAACTGGTAAAAGGCTTGCCCCCGAAACGCCTCAGCCGCCTGCAGTGAACGTGCCATTTCAGCTCCTTTTGGAATCTATGTAACCAGGGGCTCTGGCTTCTCCCCGGCAAATTAAAACGACGTTTCTTTATGTACATCTCATACCTCGGTTGTTTTTCTAGTCATATTCATTAGACAGGAAGTTAATTGATGCTGGGTTGTTTTGAAGGCCCCCTTTTTTTTTAATCCGGACTCTATAAGGTGATGATGTGGTGTTTTTTTAATTTTGTCATTGCCACTGGTGGTGAGTGGGTTTGAGACCTCACTATAATGCAAGTCACAGAGGCACTGAGGAGCTGAGGAAGCAGCCAAACTCAAGCTCTGAAAGAAACAGTGTGGATTGTACCTCAGAAAACAGGGGGCTGGTATAGGGGGATTTTTTTCCTCTGCTGAGGAAGTGATGCTGAAGCCCCTGTAGTCGGGGGACACAAACAAATGTGCAGCTTTTTTTTGCACAAATGCCTTAAAACACCTTGTTTTTGCCGTTTGAAGATTATGACATTAGAAGGTTATGCTGCACTCAGGCGTCATAGCATTAACAAAAAAAGCGCTTTCTGTTATACTGACAATGTAATATCCGTCTTTTAGTGTCTTATTGTGACGTTATGATGGAAAACAACTAGAACATCTGTTGTTGTGGTAAAGCCTAAACCTCGTGGGTTCAATATTAAATGTACCATTGTGTTTACTGAGTCAGACTCTGTGTCACAAATCTATTCACAATCTTATTTGACTGCAAATATTTTGCTTCCCTGTTTATAGTATCATTAGCATCAGCCCCAGCAGAGTCCTTGGACTGTTGGCCGGTGTTGGCGGACGCTCTTCTCATGCGTCTGGTTTCTAGTTTAGGTCTGTAACTACCCAGCCCTCCCCTGTCTCCCACAGCATAAACAAACACGTCTAATCTTCCCCAGCTACACAAATATCCCCGGCATTGGAATATTCAGTGATCACCGGGGTAAACCTTGTGTCATTATCCTGTGAAATCGATTAAGAGCTATTAAAGCTGTCAGCTCTCAGAAGTCAAATCTGTGACAGAAGCCCGCACCAGACCAGAGGTCCAGAGTGAGACCACGCAACCATAACTCTGAGGTGCGACTTCAGATCGGAACGATGATTCATGATCTGACATCATCCTGTGATTGTGTGTGCGAAGAGCGACAGACACGAGCAGACACACACTGAAAATCCTCATACAACACAAAGCTAAGAGCTCATTT